AATTATTCTAGTGTTAAAGGACAGGATAGTGGTTATCCCTGGAGAGAAGGGGGTTATGTAAATCAATAACCTCCTCTGATTCTAGCACAAATTGCTTTTACAATTGGTTATTTAAGGGGAAAACAAAGAACATGAGTAGTAATAGTGTTTTCTTTATTGATCTGAATGCTTTGAATGTTGGTTACATGGGTGTATTCATTGTGAACATTTACCAAGCTGTACACTCATGATTTGTGCAATATTCTATAATATGTTGAACACAAGTCATTAAAAATAAGTTTATATTTTAAAAATTAAGCAGACTACAAAATTTTATTTACCTATTTTTTAAAGACAGTCTCACTACGTTGTCCATACTGGTCTCAAACTCCTGAGCTAAAGGGGTTCTTCCACCTTGGCCTCCCAAAGTGCTGAGACTACAGGCATGAGCCACCATGCCCGACTAACACCACAATTTTTATTCTCTAAATATCACCTGGAGATGTCTTAACATCCCTACTAAGATTTCAGAAAAAACAATAGTGAGAAACTAAGAGCTGCTTCTAAATGAACACTCAAAAAGGAAACTTCAATGATGCTTCAATGTCAAGGTGGTTAAGGACTTAGCTATTCTTTAAAAAATTAACTGGCCGGGCGCGGTGGCTCAAGCCTGTAATCCCAGCACTTTGGGACACTGAGGCGGGTGGATCACGAGATCAAGAGATCAAGACCATCATTGTCAACATGGTGAAACCTCGTCTCTACTAAAAATACAAAAAATTAGCTGGGCATGGTGGTGTGTGCCTCTAATCCCAGCTACCCAGGAGGCTGAGGCAGGAGAATTGCCTGAACCCAGGAGGCAGAGGTTGCGGAGAGCCAAGATCGCACCATTGCACTCCAGCCTGGGTAACAAAAGTGAAACTCCGTCTCAAAAAAAAAAAAAATTAATCAGTAGTAAAGACAGGACACTCAGTTCTGACCCCTGCAAGTCGAAGGAGGCAAAAAAAAGAAAATTTGAACCTATCTCCACTAAACTCCCTGGTGTACCACCTTTCATTCCAAAGCAATAAATATTTTAAAAAATGGAATGTAATGTTTCCTAAGAAAATCCATCACTGACAGTCAGCAGTTGAGAATGGAACTCTATCATTTGTGCCTGGTTCTCATATTCTAGAAGCTCCATCATCATCAGGAGATTTCAGTATATGAACTAGTGATATTACTACAAATATCTAGAACCATTCTAGTTAGGCACAGAGATGCTATTATGTATTATCACATCCTTAATAAAAATGCCTGATTTTGTAAATTTGTTACTTTGTTTTCCCCTTAAATAATCGATTGTAAAAGCAATTTGTGCTAGAATCAGAGGAGGTTATTGATTTACATAACTCATTACCTCATTAATAGTTTTTAGGTAGTCAATAAGAAACCATTTACTTTTTTGGATGAGCTTATGGTGAACTGAAGAAAAAGCAATGTTCAAAAGTAACAAGTTGATCAGCATTTCAGATGCAGATCAACTTTGGATTTCCATAAAGGCTTTCAAATAGCAATAAAAACAAGATTTAACAGGTTGGATACAAGTGACATACCAATAATCTATCATAGGACTAAGATTCCTATTTTATAAAAGGATAACCAAAACCAATTCGGTCTTCAACTTGGGAAATAAGCTAACTTTGGAAAAGTAGCAAATAATGCATACCTACAATTGTATGACTGTGGTAGTCATTGGGAACTATGTATAATAAATCCTTTACATTTTAAAACCCGTATATTTAACGTGTAGGGAAGTAAAAGTACTTTTGAAAACAGTGATTTTGGCCAGGCATTGTGGCTCATGCCTGTAATTCCAGCACAAGGTCTGCACTAAGACACAATGTTGAAAAATGTAACTGGGTATTTTACCAGTAACATCGTGACAAACAAAAGAAAATTTAAGAAACATGACAATTTCTATCCTAAAACATGTATCTTGCTAAATACTACAATATACTCATTTGCTCAACTGACATATTTATTAAATAAGCAAAATTGAATTTCAAGATGATATGGTAAGTCAAACAGTATATCTGTAACCAGGAGATTCAGAGCATGTTTAAAAGAATTTGTTTTTTGTATGACTTCGTAAGATTAAATTGAGAACTAAAGAAACCATTTAAGAACGTATTAAAGAATTTTTGGCATTTCTTAACATAAAAATGCATACATGCATTTTATGGTTCTTAGCATATATGTATTTTCCAATTACACGCTGAATTAAAACTTACCTGCTTTGTTGACTTTTTTGTGCCATTAAAAATCTTCCAAGCTAGCCCATTGCCACCACTGGCAATGTGTCGACCAACATCAAATTCTCTAGTGACAGGATTTCCCATTACAGCACTAGTGACATCAGCTGTTACTTTTGTAACAGTACTCTTCAATTTATTAAGCATGGACTCCATGGCTGCAATACTGGGTAGTTATAGCTACCTAGAAGAACAAAAGAATAGTGGAGAACTGATCATTTCTTTTTGGTATAAGCATTTATTCATAGTTTAATTTGAAAAGCTTAAGATCTCCCAGTGAACAGAACAATCCTATATAGATTAAAGTTATATGTTGGTTTTGTCTTCAGAGAACCCAATACATTTTAGTACAAATGTAAGTCCAGAAACCAAACTGTTCATTTCAACCTCAGTTTTCACTGACTAGGAAAAGATATATTCACACTTGACTCTGATATTAAGAAAAAGAATGACTATTGCTCAACTGTATAACATGAATCCTTTAAGACTTAAAGTGGGGGATGGGAGTGGTGGCTCACACCTGTAACCCCAGCACTTTGGGAGGCCAAGGCGGGCAGATCACCTGAGGTCAGAAGTTTGAGACCAGCTGGCCAACATGGTGAAATCCCATCACTACTAAAAACACAAAAATTAGGGCTGGGCATGGTGGCTTACACCTGTAATCACAGCACTTTGGGAGGCCAAAGCAGGCGGATCACGAAATCAGGAGTTCGAGACAAGCCTGACTAACATGGTGAAATCCCGTCTCTACTAAAATTACAAAAATTAGTCGGCCCCTGGGTTGTATGCCTGTAATCCCAGCTACTCAGAAGGCTGAGGCAGGAGAATCACTTAAACTTGGGAGGCGGAGGCTGCACTGAGCCGAGATCATGCTGTTGCACTCCAGCCTGGGTGACAGAGCGAGACTCCGTCTCAAAAAAAAAAAATAGCCAGGCAAGGTGGCAGATGCCTGTAGTCCCAGCTACTTGGGAGGCTGAGGCACAAGAATCACTTAAACTCAGGAGGTGGAGGTTGCAGTGAGCTGGGATCATGCCTCGGCACTGCAGCCTTGGTGACAGAGTGAGACTCATCTCAAGAACAAAAGCCAAAGACTTAAATGGGGTTTGAGAGGCCATGGCAGGTGGATCATTTGAGGCCAAGAGTTCAAGACCAGCCTGGCCAACATGGTAAAACCCCACCTCTACAAAAAATACAAAAATTAGCCAGGCATGGTGGCATGCACCCATAATCCCAGCTACTCAGGAAACTGAGGCACAAGAATCGCTTGGACCCAGGAGGCAGAGGTTCCAGTGAGTCAAGAGTCAAGATCACGCTACTGCACTCCAGGCTGGGTGACAGAGCGAGACTGTTTCAAAAACAATAACAAAAACAACAACAAAGTAATATAGAAGGTTTGATTCTCACTTCATATTTAAAAATTTATTCTTTTTTCTTTTTCCACCCCTTTTCACTGGTGTTGATCACTTCACATTAAAAACAATATAAAACTTAAAATATGCTAATGCTTTCCTAAGCAATAAATGTGTATTTATTATTATTATTATTATTATTATTATTATTTTTGAGACAGAGTTTCGCTCTTGTTACCCAGGCTGGAGTGCCATGGCGCGATCTCGGCTCACCATAACCTCCGCCTCCTGGGTTCAGGCAATTCTCCTGCCTCAGCCTCCTGAGTAGCTGGGATTACAGGCACGCGCCACCACGCCCAGCTAGTTTTTTGTATTTTTAGTAGAGATGGGGTTTCACCATGTTGACCAGGATGGTCGATCTCTCGACCTCGTGATCCACCCGCCTCAGCCTCCCAAAGTGCTGGGATTACAGGCATAAGCCAACATATGTAGCCCAAATTTGCATTTTATAAAAAGTTTTATTCATTATTAAAATAATAATTACATTCAACTATGAAATCATTTAAAAGTATTTCCTAAAAGTATCAACCAGGTGCAGTGGCTCATGCTTATAATTCCAGTACTCTGGGAGGCTGATCCATGATCCAGGTAGATCACTTGAGTTCACGAGTTCGAGACCAGCCTGGGAACCATGGAGAAACTCTGTCCCTACAAAAATACAAAAATAAGCTAGGAATGGCAGCATGTGCCTGTAGTTCCAGCTACTCAGGAGGCTGAGGCAGAAGGATCACTTGAGCCCGGGAGGAGGAGGTTGCAGTGAGTCAAGATAGCACCATTGCACTCCAGGCTGGGTGACAGTCAAGCTCTATCTCAAAAAATAAATAAATAAATAAAGCACTGATGGTGACTATTGTAATTAATGATCACTGAATCATTTATTAACTGGTAGTTTTTAATAAGCATAATGATCAGTACTTGTTACAGGTTGAATATCCTACTTGGGACCAGAAGTGTTTCAGATTTTTTATCTTTTCAGATGCTGGAACACTTGCATTATATGTTTACTGACTGAGCAACTCTAATTCAAAAATCAAAAATCCAAAATGCTCCAATGAGCATTTCCTTTAAGCACCATGTCACTGCTCAAAAAGTTTCAGATGCTGGAACATTTCAGATTTCTGGATTAGAGATATTCAACCTGTATTAATAATTAGTAATTATCGGGGCGCTCTACGCGGGGCCGAGGGCGCGGACACCGACGGGGCCGGGCCCGCGCGAACGAGGGAAGCCCGCGTCCTGCTCTCCAGGGCCCCGACGGGCGGGCGCGCTGCACTGGGCCCAGCGGCCACCCACCTGCGTGGCTCTCCAGGGCGTCGCTATGTCCTCGGTGTTTGGAAAACCCCGCGCGGGCAGCGGGCCGCAGAGCGCGCCCCTCGAAGTCAACCTGGCCATCCTGGGGCGCCGAGGGGCCGGCAAGTCCGCCCTGACTGTGAAGTTTCTGACCAAGAGGTTTATCAGCGAATACGACCCCAACTTGGAGGACACCTACAGCTCCGAGGAGACTGTGGACCACCAGCCCGTCCACCTGAGGGTCATGGACACTGCAGACCTGGACACCGCCAGGAACTGTGAGCGCTACCTGAACTGGGCCCATGCCTTCCTGGTGGTGTACAGCGTCGACAGCCGCCAGAGCTTCGAGGGCAGCAGCAGCTACCTAGAGCTGCTCGCCTTGCACGCGAAGGAGACAGCAGCTTCCCTGCCCTGCTGCTGGGCAACAAGCTGGACATGGCCCAGTACAGGCAAGTCACCAAGGCAGAGGGTGTGGCCTTGGCAGGCAGGTTTGGGTGCCTGTTTTTCGAGGTCTCTGCCTGTCTGGACTTTGAGCACGTGCAGCACGCCTTCCACGAGGCAGTTCGAGAGGCACGGCGGGAGCTGGAGAAGAGTCCCCTGACCCGGCCCCTCTTCATCTCCGAGGATAGGGCCCTGCCCCACCAGGCCCCGCTCACCGCCCGCCATGGGCTGGCCAGCTGCACCTTCAACACACTCTCCACTGTCAGCCTGAAGGAGATGCCCACCGCGGCCCAGGCCAAGCTGGTCACCGTGAAGTCATCCCGGGCCCAGAGCAAGCGCAAGGCACCTACCCTGACCCTCCTGAAGGGCTTCAAGATCTTCTGAGGACCCCTCCCCAGGAACCCTGGGCTCGGTGGCTGGACAGGACTTCAGCAGGACAGGGGCTGGCTTCTTACCACCAGCCTTTCCCTCTGATGGACAGCAGACCCCGCCTCCAGCACCAAGAAGTGTCTCTACATTCAGTTCCCTGTGTGAGCTGGAGTGGCAGGCAGGGATGCTGCTCTGTTCCCTCCAGGCCTTGCTCTTCATGGTAACCACCACATCTGTGGCCCTGGAGGAAAACAGCCACTGCGACAACCCAGAGACTTGGGGTCAGCCTTAAGTAGGAAGAAATTGCAGTGCCCATCCTGCTGCCATCAGCCTTTCTTGCTCCAGCTACAGTTGGGCCAGCTGTGGCCCTTCATGGACGGTCTGGGTGGACAGCTCTGTCAGTGTCAGGCCTGAGAACAGCCTGCAGAATGATAGCTCTGGGGTCCTTGTGCCACCTGGTGGACGGGAAAGGCAGGGCGGCTGCAGTTTCAGAGGCCAGAGCCAGGCCCTCCTGTCATCTGCTGACTTCACAGAAGGCCCAGGCTACAAATTCCACAGTTTATCCAAGGAAAGTCTAGTTAAAATAATCCAATGGGCCACCTGGGCGGGGCAAAGGGGTCCCAGGAAGGAGGGTAAAAGGGAGGGGGCTGTCCAATGTAAGGAACCCCAGAGTTCTTTCACCAGCAGAGTCCCCATGTTTTCCCACTGTTATGGACTCTGTCCATAGAACCTCAGGGCCAGCTCCCTCAAGTTTAATGATCAGGCTGAAGAAGAAAGTTGTCACTCCAGTGAGTTACCCAGGGCTCCAGGGAGCCCACAGCAGCATCAGACCCATCCAAGGGCTACAGGGCATGCCCCCTTGCAGGTGGAAAAACAGTATAGCTGTTTGTCTTCTGGTTTGGCAGGACCCAGGACCCTCAGCAATGGGTCTGAGTGTTCAAAGCGGATACCAGAATACCATGGCTCAGACATGGAATCAGGACACTCCTTTGGGATCCCACCATTGGCAAGGAAAGGCCCTCCGAGGCAGGCAGTGTGGTAGTTATCTGATTTTGTTTACCACACACCAAGTCCAAAGGAAGTGTTGCACAGATTCTTAGCAGATAAGTAGGGAAAGGAGAGGGCCCTGGTGGGTGGAAGGATTGGGAAGGGGATTCTGAGCCTGGAATCCTGTCCCTTCCTCTCTTAGCAGTCTCAAGACTGCTGTTGGATTGCAAACAGCATCTCTGACCCAGTCTTCAGCCTCATTCTGTAAATGGAGGAGCTGAGGTCAGAGTGGGCTTGTGAACTGTTCAAGACCACATGCTTAGAGTCCTAGCCAGGCTTCCTGATGCACAGGCCAGATATAGATATGGATTTTGCACTTTTGCTCCAAGCCACTTGTGTGTGTGTGTGTGTGTGTATGTGTGTGTGTGTACCACCGCCATCTGAACAAACTGCAATACCACCCGCTCACTTCCAGGACCATTTTAATAAAAGATTTTTTTAATAACAAAAAAAAAAAAAAGTAATTGTCAGGCTTAACTTTTCTCATTTGGTAAATTAAAACAGACTCTAATTGTGATGATGTCTGTTAACATCTTTAGTTGAAGAAAGCTAAAGGAAGCTTTCTTTAGCTTTCTTCAAACTACAATGTCTGTCTCTCTAGGGTTACATGAATACTTTCCAGGGCATACATGGGCATAGACCATTTCAAGGTAGCAGTTCCTAATCTGGAGTCAGGTAAAGACTTCACAGGGAATTAGAGGTATTATTACGGCCTTGTACAAGGTTTTATTATTGAATGCTTTAAACATATATATCACCATTTTGTAGTTATGAACATGTTATTACAATTATTTCAAAAATTTTTTTATTCTATACATTTTGTTTCATAAATTTAAAAATATTACTCTAAATAAATGAATAAATTACTCTAACTTCTGGCCATGAGGGAGGAACAAAGAGTGAATCTGCCCTCTTGCTTTTAAGCAACTAGAAAACTAAACAACTAGAAAACTAAACAAAATATAGGAAACACATTTTTTCAGACATTGAACAGAGAGCAAGAGAATTTGATCCCACTAAGAAAGAGAACTAACAAGATAAATACCCCAGGATTGTCCCAGTTTTCTGCCTAAAGGCACATTCCAAACTACAGAGCATAGAACAGAACTCCAGGTAGCCATCCAGCTGAGTTGAGAAGCTGGAGGGACAAACTAGCATTCAAGAATGTGGAGGTAGATGAAAGTTCAAAGTGAATGAAGTTATGCTGACAAAAATGCATAGAGGCCCCCTTCATGCTCTGTTCCCGGTACCCCACATGCTTATGCATACTGTGACATTCCGCCAGGTCAGGGAAGGACCAAACTAGAGAGCTATGAGTTGAATAGTTTCAGAGTTCACACAAGGCTACAAATCATTCAATATGTCATCAGCCAGTGTGGTGAGTCTTCACTGACCACTGAGACATTCGGCAGAAACCTTGTAAGAACCATGCTTTAATAGCAGGGTAAACCACCCTTAGAGTGAAAGCTAATCTAAATCTGCTCTAAAAGCAATTCTCAAATGACCAAAGTAATCACAAATTACTAATCTGTCTACCAGAACAAAACTCAATACTTGTGAAAGGAAGACATATACATGCACATAAAAATCAGATACTAAACAATGTAACATTCACAATGTTCAGCATGCAATCAATAACTATCAGACATGCCAAGAAGCAAGACAATGTGACTTATACAACAGTGGACCCCAACCCCCAGGCCACAGATCAGTATCAGGCCATGGCCTGTTAGGAACTGAGTCATAAAGCAGGAGGTGAGTGGTAAGCAAGCAAGCATTTACTGCCTAAGCTCCGCCTCCTGTCAGATCCGTGGCAGAAATAGATTATCATAGGAGTGTGAACCCTATTGTGAATTCTACATGTGAGAGATCTAGGTTGTACGCTCCTTATGAGAATCTAATGCCTAATGATCTGAGGTAGAAGAGGTTCACCCTGAAGCCCAGCTCCCCACCCCCAATCCGTGGAAAAATTGTCTTCCACAAAACTGGTCCCTGGTGCCAAAAAGGTTGGGGACTGCTGCTATACAAAGCTCCAAGAAATTCAATAATTCATGTGAAGGATAAACAGGAAGAAAATTATGCACTGATACACCAAATAGCTGAAAATCAGTGATCAAAAGAAAAATCTTAAAAGCAGCCACAGAAAACAAGTAAATTACATATAAGAACAAAGATAAGAATTTTCCCAGACTTAGCAGAAATAACACATGCCAGAGAACAACTGATTGAGGTCTTTAAAGTGCTAAAGGAAACTGTCAACCTAGAATTTTATAGGCTGGGGAAAAAACTTTCAAAAATCAATGTGAAATAAAGACTATTTTCAGAAAAACAGATAATCACTATAAAAACTATTAGAGGTGGGAGGATCACTTGAGCCCAGCAGTTCAAGATGAGCAGTGAGACCCCATCTCCACAAAAAGTTGAAAAATTATCCAAGTATGGTATCACCTGACTGTAGCCTCAGCTACTCAGGAGACTGAGGCAGAAAGATCAATTAAGACAAGGAGGTGAAGGTTGCAGTGAGTCATGACCGCACCACTGCACTCCAGTCTTGGTGACAGAACAAGACCTTGTCCAAAAAAAAAAAAAAAAAAAAAGACTACTAAGAAGGTTTCTAAAGCAGAACAATAAAAAGAAAAATGATGTGGGCATATAAAACACACTTTTCATCTTTTCATGTCATAGTATCTTTAAAAGATAGCTGATCATTTAAAGCAAAATAATTTTTAAAATGTATTTATAATATATGTAGAAGAATTTGTGACAAGAAAGAACAGGAGGGGGAAATGTAAGTATATTTTTAAAAGATTCTTACATTATATATGAGGCAGTTCAATATTATTTGAAGGCATGCTGTGGTAAGCTGAAAGATATATACTGTAAACCCTAGAATAACAAAATAATAAAGTGATACAACTAAATCATAGAGATAAAATAAACCCTAAAGTAAACTGATAAATATAAAAAGAAGCAGAAAAGAGGAAGAAAAAAAAAACAAATGAAGCAAATACAAAATAAATTAAAAAATGGTTCACTTAAATCCAACTATATCAATAAATTATATTAAATGTAAATGATTTAAAATTCCAATTAAAAGGCAGGGGTTGTCAAACTGGATAAAAAAGCAAGACCTAACTATATGCTGCTTACAAAAAATCCACTTAAAAGTATAAAAACACAGGTAAAAGAATGTGAAAGTATAGTAAGTTGGAGTGGTTATATTAATAATAGAATAAGCTTGAAGGCAAAAAGGTCATTTTGTAATGACAAAGTTGTCAATTCACCAAGAAGACATAACAGTACTAAATATGTATACACCAAATAAGAGAACTTCAAAATAAATGCAGCAGAAAGTGACAGAATTGACAGAATAGACAAATTCATAATTATAGTTGGAGACTTCAAAAGTTTTCACTATAGAAACAGACACAGACAAGCAGAAAGAAAATCAGTAAGGATGGAGACTTCAACAGCACTATCAAACAACTTGACCTAAAACATAAAACACTCAGTCTACAAATGACAAATATTTTTCATGTAGACATGTAATATTCACTAAAATGAACTATATGTTGGGCTACAAAACAAGTCTCAAAACATTTATAACTACTGAAATAATATAAACTACATTATTTAACTACAATAAAATTAAACTAGAAATCAGTAATGGATTATAATACATAGAAAAACTACAAATACATGAAAATTAATCAACACTTTTAAATAATCCAAGGGCTAAAAAAGAAATCACAAAGAAAATTTTTAAATATTTTGAAGTAAATGAAAATTAAAATTTGCCAGTCATAATTAAAGCAGTACTTACAAAGAACTCTATAGCTGCAAATGTTTATATTAGGGATTTTAAAAGTCCAAAATAATGGTTTAGGCTTCCATCCTAAGAAGTTAGAAAAAGAAAAAATTAAAATAAGTAGACAGAAGAGGAATCAATGAAACAGACTAAATTTAATGTAATTTAATTTTTTATTTAACAGAGAAATGAAA